TCTATGGTGTCTTAAATGTACATGATATAAACATACATAGATAATTATCAAACATACTATAACAATAAATATATATAGGTATATAGTGTAAAAGGTCATAATGACAGATAGTGCTCCTTTACTAGATTTTTGAATCTATCTACCGTTTGCGCACGTCTTATATTTTCGGGCAATGCATTCCAGAGACGTGCAGCCTGAACTATAAAAGATTTGTTAAGAAATTTCGTGAAATGCATCGGTGTCTCCAATTTTAAGTTCTCTGATGATCTCAAAACTCGAGTGTGGGTATTATGAAGGAAATTAAAACGTTCCTTAAGATAAGATGGCGAAAGTGGATTAAACAAAATACTGTAAAGAAGGGAAACAATATGCGCATTCCGGCGAAGACGAATCGGGAGCCACTTGAGTTTTGCACGGAAATCGGATACATGATCATATTTGCGTAAACCAAATATGAATCTGATACAGAAGTTTTGTAACCGCTCAAGTTTGTTAAGTTGCTCCTCAGTAAGGTCAAGATAGCTAACGTCTGCGTAATCCAAAATGGGGAGAAGGAGAGCTTGTGCCAGCGCAGTTTTAGTGGCGAGAGGGAGGAAATTGCGCAGTCTTCTTATGGACCCAGCCGCAGCAAACATCTTACGGCTCACTTCCTGGATTTGGGGACCCCAAGTGAAATTTTTGTCAATTAGCACACCCAAATTCCTAACACAATCACTAGGAGTTAATGTGATACCGTCAAATGTGATCAATGGTAGTTGAGTCCAGTCGATTTTATTAATCATCGTAGAGTTGCCAACAATAATGAGTTGAGTCTTGGATGGATTTATTATTAAACCATATGATTTACTCCAATTAGAAATTCGGTTCAGATCATCATTCACATTAGTAATTAGTTGATGAAGTTCGATTAGTCGTGCTTGGGAGTAAATTTGCAAATCATCTGCATAAAGGTGGTAGGACGAAATAAGTTGACTGGAAATAGAATTGATAAAAATAGCGAAAAGTAATGGAGATAAAACGCCACCCTGTGGCACCCCAGCAGATATATCGCACCAAGCTGAAAAAGAATTGTCGATGCGAATTCGCTGTCGGCGACCAAACAGGTAACTATGAAACCAGTCAATTACCGCTGGAGATATGTTAATAGAGCGCAGTATGCCAAGCAAAATATCATAATCTACAGTGTTGAATGCATTGCTGAAGTCAAGCAATGATAGGATCGTAACCTTTCCATTTTCCATTCCCGACCTTATGTCGTCTGTGACTTTGACCAATGCCGTTGTAGTACTGTGCCCAGCACGGAACCCTGACTGGTATGGATTAAGGAGGCGATTCTTGAGAAGGAAAGTCGATAATTGGTTATGGACGAGGCGCTCTAATACTTTAGATAAAAAGGGTAGGATTGCTATGGGTCTGTAGTCGGAAGAGGATGATGGTTTGGATTTTTTGGGTAATGGGATGACTTGAGCATCTTTCCATGCAGATGGAAAGACCCCAGCCCTTATAGAGTAATTAAAGATGTGTGTAAGGAGTGGAAGAACTTCATCTAAGATAAGGAGTATCATTTTTCGGCTAATACAGTCACTACCTACGGCCCCTGATGATATTGACATAATGCTCCCCTTAACATCACAGTCGGAAAATTGACGAAGAGAAAATGATGGATATTTAGGGCTTGGAATAGAAGAAAGAAAACTCAAAGTATCCAACTTTCTTGTCGAATCAAAAGTATAAGAGGAACAGAACTGTTTGTTGAGCAGGTTCATATCAAAATTCGTATTAGAAGATGTATGATGTTGTTTACCAATGCCCATAGATCTAAGGAATTTCCAGATTTTTGCTGGATCAGCTTTTTCAATCGAGTTGTGAATAAATTGGCGTTGTGCATTCCTACACATCTTATTGCATTGATTGCGGATATAGACATATTTTTCCCAATTAGAAGGAGTGGGACGACATTTATATCTCGTTTTGGCGGCTGCTTTACGTTCTGATAGCAGTTTAATATCTTGAGTAATCCAAGGTGACGGGCGGTGCTTCATCTTGACTGGACGAATTGGCGCATGTACATCATAAAGCGCAGTAAGGTTCGACACAAGAAATTGAAGTTTGCCATCTACAGAGTCACAATTAAGAAGTTGCGACCAATCCGTATTAGCTGCATCATCGCGGAGCTTATCAAGATTGACACCACTAAAATTGCGCTGCAACAGAATTGAGGGCTTAGCTTTCGGTGGACGCGTTTTATATGATAGGAAAATCAGATCATGATATGAGAAGGCATCAGCTGGGAATTGTCCATGTTTAGCAACATGATGAAGAGAAGAGACAATGAGGAGATCTAAGAGAGAAGGAGAACAATTTGGAAAATGATGGGTAGCATTGAGTGTTGGTATATGTAAATTACTTGATTGCAGGACAGTTCGAAAATTTGCAGAACGCATGTCATTCTTGAGAAGACATGTATTAAAATCACCCATTATTATAGTATGACTGTAAGAAGGGCACAGAAGCTCAAGCTTATTTTCAAATGAAGAAAAGAAATTAATATGAGATGATGGGCTATAGTACACCCCCAGAAGAATTTTTGCATGTCTCAGTCCAATCTCAAGGAAGAGATGCTCGCCAGCATTAGCTGGAGGTGGCTGAGACGACATATCAATCACAGAGAAAGGAATGTATTTACGGAGATATATGGCGACACCACCACCACCACCGACGCAACGATCATTCCTTATGAGGTTAAAATCAGGTAATGAATAAGAAAGGGAAGGGAGACATGGTTTGAGCCATGATTCAGAGACAAGGATGGCATGGATGTTCTTACAGTCAAAGGTTGTCAGCATATCTGAGAAATGGGCCGGAATGCTCTGGGCATTTATATGAACCACATTGAAGTTTCTAGGAACATCAGAGAAACAGGAGTTAAGAGAATCAGCCAGTGAAGGAATGCTTATAAAACTATCGTTATCGCTACTATCAGCAGATACAAAACTGCTGGAATCACCATCACTAATTAAAAATGACATTTTTATAGTAATAAATAAATAATATTTAAATAAATAACAAATATATATCACAATATGCTTCAAATATCACTAATACAATAATTACAATAAAACCCATTAAGACACCATAACCACCCGCTCATGCTCACCAGAAAAGACAATAATAATAAAAACAAATATCAATGTACTATACAGGAATATTTTTTTTCCAGCGCAAAAATTTTTTTTGGTGGTTCAGTATCAGTAATAGAACACTTTTCCATAATTAGTTAAAAAAATTTTTTTTAATATTTTTATCCCTATCGAAACGGTAGAATATGGACACATTTTTTAAAATAAAACTTCAATGAAAACGTCTTCTCTTGCGTATGCCACCGTGCAACCCCGCCGCGCCCGGTAGCCCCCCGCCACAGCCCCCACCGCCCCGCCGGGACCGAGCGACGCGCGCGACAGTGAGACTCATACGCACGCGCCGATGTGACGTGTCCTCGCGTTCCCGCGCACGCGACGCGCCCGCCGTCGTGAGTTTTACGAGATGTACGAGTTTATCTTTTGAGTGGTGAGAACCTACATAAGTGCAATTCGGAGAAAGTATGCGACGAAGAGCATACCTCGTATGCGGGCCTTTGGGATCCATAACCCCGCGGTCCCTAATGCTTCGAACCATTTTAACAGACGAAGTCCCAGAGTCAGTACCTACGATGCGGCATATCTCTTTGGTGTGAGCCAGCCTGCGGTATTGAAGCTGCTAAAAACAGCCGGACGCCATCCGTACCACTTTCAGCCGGTTCAGTGCAGTTCCATGACCTAGACCCAATACCACGTCGAGCCTTATGTGAGTGGCTTCTACATCACCGCGATGTAAACATCTTGTAGACGGATGAGGCATTGTTCACAAGTGAGGGACTGTTTCTTATGGGAAGAAGTCAAACGCCGAGATGTCGAGGAGGCACAAAGTCTAGAAGACAACAATAAAGAATAATAATGCTTTCAGTGAAGTGAAAAGTGACACTAGTGTTTCAACAAATTAAATGACAATTTAATGAAATGTGCACGTTTATGTCTGGACAGACGTGGACTTCATTTTGAACAAATATTAAAATACATGGTAAGTAATTAGTTAGGTATTTGTTTTGATTCAACATTATTGTAAATACGTAGTTGATTCTAATTTTTTTAAATACGCCTTAACGCAGAAGTACCTATGTAACTTCGGCATAACGTTAATATTTTTTTCTAGGTAACGAATTTGTTTCTCTTTTATTTTTTGGCATTTTGATGGCCTTAACCATAAAAGTATGAAGGGAAAATTGGAATTACTCTTAGAAAACACCTCAGATCATGGCATAAAATCTAGTTCGAATCTAACAAAATGAGCGTTCAGTGACCCGTGTAGATAGGTACCTACGAGTACATGCCTACGGCGGCGTCGAGCGAGCGCTCAGCTGACGCACGGCGCGCGGTGTCCATAAATGAAGTTTTAAAATCTCGATCTTTGATAAGCGATAACTTTATTTTTTAGTATTAGAACATATCAAAATAAAAAATACGTGTTTATTTAAATAACTTAAAGTTTATTTTCACAAAATCTTCGCAGTGGTTTTAAATTATTCCTGTATAATAGTACAACAGAAATAAAATAATAAGTTAAGATAACATTAAGAACAAATTTGTATATGGCTGTATGATATGGATTCACAATAATTCAGCGAAACAAACTATGACAACCTTAGATGATAACTTGACAATGACATTGAGTGACAGTGACAAGTATTTGTTTGTAATGTCTAGATTTTTTATCATTTATTAAAAAAATAAGTTAACTTGTCAAGCAAAGTGAATTATGAGTTCAACTATTGTAAAATAAAAGTTAATTGTAAGGAAACAAGAAACAATTGCGAAAATCACTTGAAGCATGCTGGGATGATAATGTCAATTCGCTTACATGTTGAATATTTGCTTCATATTTACGAACGAAGTCAGCAATTAGAACTATTTCTTGACGCCCGCAGCCCTCCTAGCTTTTGGAATTGCCTTCGAAGTTGCCACAGGCTTTGCGGTCTCGAGTTGTAACGATCGAAGCTCAGCGATAGTGGTTAAGCGGTGCCTAGTATTATCAGGACTGAGAACGTGAATAATACCTTCCTGTGTCCAGCACCGGTTCACTCCAAATTTCTCACGAGCAGCAATAAAAGTACTTCGGCGAGATTGAGTCAAGAACTCCAAGACAGTTGCACCAGAACCCTTAAGCTTGGCTTTACTAAACCAAACCTGGTCACGGATGGCTGCATGCTCGAACTTAATGATGATAGGTCGAGGCTTGTCGCTGTTGTTTCTTGATTGTCCCATTCTGTGACGCCGCTTAATGTCCTTCAGTGTGAACTCGTTGACTCCCAATTTATCCACAACAAACCTTACCATCAGCTGTGACAGGTCTTCATTAGCCTGCTCCTGAACACCATGCAATAAAAGCATCTTTCTGCGGCCCTGCATCTCGAGCCTATCAACTGATTTTGCAAGGACATGAATCTGCGACTGAAGGGTGTTCAGCGTTCCTAGCATGAATGACTTGAACGAGGCAAACTCAGAAACCAGATCTGCTGTGCTGGCAGTGGTTGCATTAGGAGTCTTCTGCAACTGTGCTTCAAAATTAGCCATCCTATCTTGAAACATTTCCGTCAGATGTGTCATTGTGTGCTGAATTTGTTCCATCCTTAACTCAAATTTCCTATAGTCACAGAAATTGGAGATAACGCTTGAGCGGGTAAATTATAGTGTCAGGATCTAATTTTAATCATAAAACTGTAAGTAATTTATTTTTATTAAATAAATTAAATATTCTATGAAGAGCTATCTAGTTTTACAGTTATTTGACCAACTACCCTCTCGATTCTCTAAATAAAGAAATATAAATTACCCGAGTTCACAGTATAGTAGATAGTTTGGACATTAACGTTTTAGATTTTAGTGATCCTGAATCAAATTGCGATTTAAATTATGGCACACACTTATCTAATGGTGAAGTCTCAATACCTTAAAATCTACTAAAGAGATATGAGTATTGTTTCTCCGGTAACTTAAGTGATTTGGGCTTTACTAACGTCGAAAAAATGAGTATTTTATTGAATGACAGTCAACCGGTAGTTTATCGTCCTTACCGCCTTCCGTATACTGAACGTGAAGTAGTCAGATCAATGGTACAGGAAATGATAGATGCTGGTATTGTATGCGAATCTAACTCATCCTACGCAAGCCCTGTTCTTCTAGTCAAGAAGAAAACAGGTGAAAAGAGACTCTGCGTTGATTATAGGGCGTTAAATAATAAAGCACGTAAGGAACACTACCCACTAGCATTAATTGAGGATCAATTGGATAGGCTGGTTATTACCAAATCCCTATGGATGAAAGGTTCTCAAGAACTAACGGCAGTACCAATTTAAGAGAATGCTCTTTAGATTGGCAAATGCTCCATCCGTATGCCAACGGACAGTGAATAAAGTATTTTCTAAATTAAAATATATCGTTATCTACATGGATGATATCCTCATTCTATCGCGTTCGTTTAAAGAGGGTATAACACGTTTGGAAGAGGTTATACAGCATTTATCTGACGCAGGTTTAACGTTAAAATTAAAGAAATGTCACTTTTTTCAAAAGGAATTAGACTTTTTAGGTTTTCATGTATCTGGGGATGGCATACGTCCAGGGATCCGAAAAACTCTTGCTGTTTCAAAGGAGAATGGGCAATGATGTATGGAGTTTCGTTTCAAATTTTTTTTTTGTGCCATGATGAAACCTACATCATTTTGTAGGGTTTTGGCCTTAGCTTCAATTACAAAAAAAATAATGACTCTAATTCGACGGATTCATGAAAAATAAGCTGCTGAAGTTCATCAAGTAATAGGTTATGTTATTGAAACCGATTTGTATGTTTTGACTTTGTCTTCTAATTAAGTAGGGTTTTTGACTTTAAAAAGTGGCATACCAAGAGTAGGCCTTCTTTTTCCCATGAGAAGTATCATTATTGTAGTCTTCATAGAAATAAAGCGTCAATTCGTCAATCTGCTGAATGACATTCACTCACATTATAATCACTACTTTATGAGTGTAAGGAAAAATACGGTTACGAAGACTAGGTGTTAATCAATAGTAATTGTATATTCAGTGTCGTTCTTATAGAACACAAGTTGTTGTACAGTCAGCATTATGGTCTAGCTCTTAGTCTTCAGGAGCGTTTCTTTACAGCTTGTATAGGAAGTAGATAGGTACCTTACCTACACAATAAAAAACAAGATTCATAAAATCAATATTTACTGCCCAAAAAAAGTTTAATACAATGCTACTACCACTGATTACATTTTTATCATGACATGAGTTCATGTGATTTAATATAAGAATTAAAACAATATTGGCAACCATCCGTGACTATATTATTACAGTTAATCTACAAAAATAGAACTTTAGCTATGTATTACCTTACATATTCTCTAATCAAGTAGTTATTTATAGGTAGCATTCGGATCTCGGCAGTAGCTGCCTGGCAGCCGATGCTGTGCAGCGCTGCTGAGCGGCGCTTCTAAGTAGCGCTGCCATTAGCCTTTGGGTAGTAACCGCCGCGGCCTGGGCCACGACTGTCACATGCGTGCAGGCTATAGTCAATGTGAACAATTGTGTGTTGGGTCGTGTTCTGAGATTTTTACTAATTCTACTAAAAACTAGTAATTTTCATTTGTAAAAAAACTCCATTGTGTCTACCGTCATGAGCAAGCAGCGCAACAAAACTGCTTTCGGAGCGGCCGGGCGGCGCTGCACAGCTGCGTGCATCGGAACGCGTTATATACAAATACATACAAAGCAGTGCGCGACTACCGAACGCTGCTCGCTCATGGCGGTGAACTAAATGGCATCGATTACAGATGGAAATAACGAGTTTTTAATATTTTAACTGTTTTGATTGTTTTATTCCTCTTTGATGAAAGTAAGAACAATATTAGGGCATCATCCTCTTCCTGGTTCTCTATCAGTCGCTTCAAGAGTTCCAGTTTTCGTTTGAGTTGTCAGACATAGTTCAGCTTTGATAAGTACTCGAAACACGACCCAACACACAACTGCTTACATTAACTCCTGCCTACACGCACGTGGCAGCGCCGCTCGGCAACACCGCACAGCAGCGGCTGCCGGGCGGCGACCGCCGAGATCCAAATGGTACCTTTACAGACGTGTTGCTAGCAGTAAACTGAGGCATCTGAATCTCGAAAACAAGGTGAAATCTGATCAGTACTCCTAATGCAAGAATGTCAGTGTACAAATGTTACTATCGTATTTGAGTTAAGAAATATGTCTTTATCGTTACAATCCATTAGTCAAAACAACTGAAACGTTACTTTGCGTTACTGAAACGTTTGCGATTTAACAAACTTATACTATGGGTGCTGTTATTGATACATTCCGAGACATAGGTTGAAATAGATATATTGATGTAACAGCCAGCCAGTGCAATTACTATTATATATATAGTGATTCTGCTGTTTTACAAAAAAACAAGAAATGTTTTGGACATGTTTGACATAAGGGTGTTATTCATTTTCGTATGTGTATTCATCAAAAATATCGTCTAGGAATTGAACCGGGGCGGTTAAATCATTATATCTACCCCAACCTAAATACCAAAGCACTGACATGACATGGGCGCAACATCCCACCCTCCTATTTCCCATAAGACAGCTGCAGCAATAATCCAAAACAGCCTCCACAGTACTGGCAACATTGTCATCTTTACTCAGTAATAAATAGGTGTAATAAGTCCTGCTGCTAATATGTCTAGACTTTATTCTGCCTCTTAGTAAATAATTATTACTACCTAAACTAAGAGGCAGATCGTCTTCAATTTCATTATTAACCTCTACTGTGTAGGTGCCATTTGCTCGCACTTGCTCACCATATTAAGAACGAGCTTGCTTGAGCTGGTATGTTCCCAGTGCAATATGTTTTAGGTCTGATATTGTCAGTCTCGGGAACTGGTTTAAATGTGGGTGGTTAGCATCAATAGTCACGAATGTTGCTCGACGCCTGTTTAAGTTTTCCCTTTGCACAGTATGAGCTAAAACATTGTCAAGATGAAGTTTTTGCCTAGAAATCCTTAAATATTCCGATGCTTCAAGTATATCTTCTATAACTGGGTGGAACTTATTTGTCAATGCACATGCATTTCTAAAATCAGACATCAGGTGGGTAGCTGCTTTATTAAAAAACTCTTGCCTAAAAAGCTTAAAGTCGCGTTTTATGCGTCCGTTTATCACTTCAACCACCCACCTGCACATGGTTATACATCATGACTTATTAGCCTGCAGAGTTGATAATTGATGTTCCCCATCAGTCAAAGACTCAGGAATGTGAACTTTATAGCCATATTCTAATAATTGTGGCACTGCATCCCTGAAGCCTCGGTCTAGTATAAAAACATCACCTTGCCGGAAATATCTTCTCATAGGACCATTGGGATCCCTGAATCAAAAATCAAAAAAATCAAATAATTTATTGGCCATATAACTCAGAAGGTTACACTCGGCAAGTCTTTTACAATAAGCATATTAAATTAAAAATAAAGGTTTAAATCATGCAGGTCAAATCATTGTAAGTAGGAATGTCAAATAAATTAAGTATCTTAACAATGTCAAAATGGTTATTTTACGGTCCTTATAATCAATTATATCATATTCAATTAAATTACAACATTACAAATTAAATTATAATATATATATACCCATTATCACAAATTAGATTATACAAACATTGGTTATATATAATTTTATGTCATAAAATATTGATGATTATTATATCTTGTCATCTACCATAGAGATCTAGTCAATTTCCTATCTCACCCATCTTTATGTAGGAATGAATATTCATCCAAACGCATAGACATAAATTCATTTAAAAGTTTAAGGGATGCTGAATAAAAAAAAAATTAATTGTTCTTTCGAATTCGTCATCATTCATGTTTTTTATACTGAGGGGAAGTTTATTATACATTATAATTTTATTATACATGCCTTGTTTTTGTACCTTTGCCAATCTTGTTTTAGGCAGACACAGTCGTTCCTTATTACGTAAATTATAGCTATGGATATATATATCTTTCTCAAATGTGAATCCCGATCATGGTGTATTTCTATCAAACAGTTATTAATGTATAAAGAAATAATTGTCATTATTTTATTTTGTTTAAAATAAGGTTTGGCTGACGTACGCTTGCGCAAACTATTTATAATTCGTAATGACCTTTTTTGGCATTTTAGTACACGATTTATATCAGAAGCATTTCCCCAGACTGTCACCGCATAACTTAATAGGGAGTGCACATAAGCATAATACACTGTCATTAATGTTTTTTTATTGGTTAAGGGCTTCAGTTTTTGTAGTGCGTAGTTTGCACTGGCTAGTTTTTTGCATAGCTTGTTTATATGACAAGAGTGGCTCATAGTATGGTCTAAGGTATAACCTAGAAAAGTATTTTTTGTAACAAGTACGTACTCAGAAAGACGTTTTCTAAACTGATAATGCATTATTGTACTTTTATTAGCATTCAGTAATATGCCATATTAGCCTGAAACCATTCCTTCAGAATATCCACAGCTATCTCAATTTTTTGCTCGAGTTTATTTTGCGACTTGTCCTTTATTCCGAGATGAGTATCATCAACAAATAAGCTGGTGAATGCCCACTCAGGGACCGAGTTTACTTAGTCATTTATATATATTAAAAATAGCTCTGGCCCTAAAATCGAGCCTTGTGGCACCCCTATATCAATGTCTTTTAAATCTGAAGATACACCATTTACTACAACAACTTGCTTTCTTTTTGATAAATAAGATTTCATCATATTTAATTCTACATCCTCGAAACCATAATATGTAAGTTTACAAATAAGGTTATTATGGCGAAGACAATCAAACGCTTTGGATAAGTCACAAAAAATACTCGCGCATTTCTGTGACTCGTCCAGAGAGTCTAGAATAAAATAAATGACCTTTCTAATTGCCATCTCAGTAGACCTATTTTTTCGGAAACCAAATTGCGTTGGAACAAAAAGTTGATTTTCCTCGAAATACTTGACAATTCTATTTTTTATTATATTCTCTAATATTTTTGATAATGTTGGCAGAATGCAAATCGGTCGATAATTACTTAATGCACAATATTCTCCTTTTTTGTGTAACGGGATAACTTTGCCAATTTTAAAACAGTTCGGAAATACACCGCTTTTTAAGCATCTATTAAACACTATAAGCAGCAAATGCATAATTTTAGGATTTTTAAGTATTCGTTTTTTTATAGTTTTTGTATTCATGTCATAAATATCCGTTGTTAATTTAGGTTTAATCTTTTTAACGATAGTCCATAGTTCCTTATAATCAATAAGGTCAAATTTAATTGATGTGGATGGTTTAGTACAATTTTCAAAATATTGTAAACATTTTTGAACGTCGGTATCTAGGTGGTTAGTTAAAATATGTGCAGTTTCAGAAAAAAAATCATTAAATAAATTAGCAATAGCCTTGGAATCTTCAATTTTATTTCCCTGACAGTCCTCAACATATAGAAGAGCTGCGGTGGATCTACACCTGGTTTTCCTTCGTGTTTGTTCACTAACTATGTTCCAGGTTTCTTTAATTTTGTTCTTGGAAGTTTGAATTCTATGAGAGTATTGTATTTTCTTAGCCCCAATCATAACCTTTTTTAATATCTTTTTATATTTTTTTATTTTTATGTGTGTTTCAACATTTGGGTCATGGTCTTGTAATATTTGTAGTTTTTCCAAATTATTTTTTGAAATTAGTGTGCCTTTCGTTGTCCATTTCTTCGAAGTATTCTTTGAAAATCTTCTAACTTTAGGAAAAGCCATATTGTAATAATGTCTTATTGCGTCAAATAGAATTTCCATCCCTAGATTTGGGTCTACACAGTTAAGCATTTGTGATCTTAAAATGAGGAAGTCCTTATTAAATAAATAATGGAAATAATCTATATTACTTTTAGTTATTTTTCTAGCGTAAGTTACTGGTTTAATTAATGGGTCATCCTTATATTCTAAGACAAGTTTTATAAAATTATGGTCCGATAGCTTACAATTTAATACATCCTTTACAGAGATCAATGTTTGTAATAAAGTTGTCAATGCATGACGAGCTTTTACCTTGAGTTCGTGTTGGTGAATTTATTAACCAATAATAATTATATTTCCCAAGTATATCAGTGAGCTTAAGTATTTTTTGTTTTTCTTTAATACGTTTAAATTGATATCTCCAGCCACGACTATTTGTTATCGTTCTCTACAGATTATATGTAACAGCTTAGCAATAATATCAAAGAAAAGAGAGATATCCTTATCTGGTCTGTATAGAGAAACAATAACAATATTAGGACTTCTTAATTCAATCGCTGTCAGTTCGCAATTCATTCCAAAAGAAAGTTTGTTAAAATCTTTACGAACCTTATAATTTAAACCACATTTTACATAAATTGCGGTACCTCCATGATCGAAAAATATTCTATAAAATATGAAGCCAGAACGTAATTATTTATATTTAATTCTAATATTTGATAGTCCTTGGCCCATGTTTGAGTAAGACACAATACGTCACATTTTTCTTTCTCTAGTAAGTACTCAATATCCAAAAATTTGTTGTGTATGCTTTGAACATTTGCATGAAGTATCAGCGTTTCGGAAGTGGTTGCTAATTTGTTAGAAAATTAGAAACATTTAACTGAGACTCTACACTCTCATGTGTATATTTAATAAATACGAGGTTCGAAGATGACTGATATCCATTATTTAAATATGTTAATAGAGTCTCAGCTATAAATGTCTTTAAGGAAGGAGTACTATTATTTGATAAATGATTTTTCCGAAGATTTAATTCTAAATATTTCACATTCTCAGTAACACTAGCTAATTGTGATATTTTCTCATTTAACTTATATATATTATAATCATTTATGCCATTATAAGAAATTCCGCTTATAATTAATTTAAATTTACGTTGCGGATTTTGTATTATACTATCTAAGTATTCCAAATATGTTTTTTGAGAAGTGCTTTTGCTTTTCACATTATATTTACTAATTAATATTACAACTAAATCTTCATTTTCCAGGCATTTTATTTTCTCTTCGAAGTTATCCAATACTGCGTCATAATGTGCTCCTGGTTTGCAGTAATTAATCAGTTTTACATTAGATTTA